TAAAGACAATCTTTACTGTGTGGTGTGTCTTCTCTTCATGGGTGCAAATAAGACAAAATAAAAGCCTGCTTTTCTTACAGAAAGCATGCTTATTTAGCCCAAAACAGATACAAATGCAAATTTCTCTATTGTAATAAATATGGGTTTTATTGTTAAAGGAGAACTGACTGCTTGTGTCCCGCTGATGTAGTTCGCAGTGTTTGCACTGGAGGTCTCACTAGCGTTTAATGAGCATGGCCCTCTTGACTGTCGGGCTTCCATGCATGGGTTGTAACCAGCATAGTCTCTCCTTCTGCCTGCTCGAGACCTTCCGGAAGAATTACCATTAATGGTGAACATGGAGGTCTTCGAACAACCTGCTTCCTGAGTTAGGGCATAAGTCCAGCCTCTGGAGCATCCCAGGAAGATTTGTTGTTATGTGTGCAGTGATCAGGAGCAGGCTCAGCCTCTACAATATGGTACTTGATGAGATTCCTTGTGACCATTCCCCGTGTCATGCAGCATTTGCCATTGATTGTGGTTTTTTGGAGTAATGCTGCTTCCATTGTTCTTTATGGTTACCTCCAAAAACTCCTTTTGGGTGCAAAAAATAGTGTGGGTCTGAAATGTTTGACTAACCACACACAAAGTATGTGGGTCTTAGCTTCTCCAGAATAGGCATCCAAACTTGGTAGACTGTCTTCCTGGGTGATCTGTAGTGTGACAGCTTTTGCTTAGTGCACTCTATGCTCTTGACCACTGCTTTTTGTAGCTGGTTCCTCTGGTAGATCCCCCATAGCACTTAAATGTTTTAGAAGTTCTTGGTGCCTCTCAAAATCTATTTTGTAATGTCACAGTCATAAATCTGAAAAGCAGAGATGCTTCTTGGTATTTTTTTCTCCATAATTTCTTATTTGAGTAGATATTGTGAAATAAGTCTGTTTCCTTGAAGGACATCAGAGTTGCAGCAACAAGGAGCATAGGAAATCTATTCCACCTTAGTGTGAAAGTCTGTATTTGACCAGTTTGAAGTAGACACGACATGGGTTGAATGTTAGTTAAAAGTGGGGGAAAAAACCCAAAACAAAATTCCCATCACCAAACTACTAAGTAGCTTGTTTCTCTAGAAATGTACTTATGTATCATGCTTTTGTTAAGGAGGGGCTGGAGGAGGCAGAGAGGAAGCTCCTCCCCAGTACATATATAGTGTCCTGCCCATTCACTTGTGATTTTTGTGGTCTTGTGCAGCATGTTGGTCTGGCAGCAACTGCCCTGCAGTGAAGTGGGTTGTTGCTTCCTCTGGAGGGAAATGTCTGTCATGCTAATAAAGAAAAACCTGTTTCCATTTCCTCAGAGATGCTGGAAACTATCTTCCCTTCAGAGCAGTGAGTTACAAGATAGGTCTTGCCCTGTTGGAAAAATACCCATTTTCATTCCCACTAAATTTAAATTAGTGCCTGGCAACTTAGTTGAATGCAACTGACTGATGAACTTCATACTTAGAAGAATCCGGACTGATTGAAAAAATGAGTTTGGGGCACTTGTTCTTAAATATCTGAAAAGCTTTGATCATTCCTCCCAAGTTTTCTTCAACTTTCTGGAACTTATGAATACACAGGGACTTTGTTATTTGCATCTAGGGACTTGTAATGTGGCTTGCATTTTTCATTTATTAATTTAAGTAATAACTTTAATAAGATATTAAGAGATATATATTTAATTAATTTAGACAGAGTTTACTTACTGTCTGATCCCATAGGTGCCGTGTGCCTCTTTTAATACCACAGATGTCCATTTATTTCAAGAAGACCTGAATGATATTTGCATGAGGTCATCACATTGCATATTTGTTGTCATGAATTCTCTTTGTATGTCTCATTGATTTTTTTATTCACTTTGTAATCTTCCATTACTCCAAGAAATTCTGGTGAAGAATACTCCACCACTGACTTAAAAATTTGCGTTCCTTCCTGGGTAAAAGAAACACGGGTGAGATAATATCCAAAAAATTATAATTTGAGGGAGGTTGCTACTGCTGTCACCAAAGTTAACAAACTTGTCAGTCAATAGACTCAGAGCCCAAGTTAGACATGCCACAAATTCTGAATTTTATAAAGCATTTTGGAAAAGTGGGCTGTTTGAAGTGTGAATTAACACACCATCCCATATATTTATCAATATTGCAAACCCACCTATAACTTTATCAAACGTTTAGGACATTTTGCTTGTCCACTTTCTGTAGCAATCTTGCAAAACCTGCCGACTTGATATTTTTGCAGATTTGGTACCATCCATGAAGGGGAACAGATCAGGGCTTAGGCTCTATTGGTGGCATATATAGAGAACACTAGGAAGAGAGATGTGAATTGTACCTTCAGTGATCTCTGCAGTGTATTTATCCCCAGCAAGAAAACAAAATGTGACTAGGGCAGTCCACGGTAATAGAAAGAGGAAATTCAGGATTGATTTGTTGTTAGAAACCAGGGAACTGTTATTGGTTCGTGTTTCTCCACCTCAGCTTGATCCTATGTGAATGGGTGGGTTCATGTCAGCCCTCCTGGAGGTGCATAATGCTGCCTATGCACATGTGTCTATATACACCACGTATGGATGTTTGAGCAGTGTTTCTTTTTAACTGTGATTTAACCAATTTTTTGCGTGAGGGTGGTGTTTATATGGCTCTCTGCCGACTTTCCATGAAATTACCTGTTAGAGCTTTTCCTCATAGCTGTTTGATTTGGGGTTTGGGAGGGCTGAAACACCATGAGGGCTGGGTGTCAAAAGCCAAGTAAAAAAATGATCAAAAAAGACTTGCTTATGTCACTTTTCTGTGAAATTGCAAACTTCTTTCTGATCTTTTAGTAACATTTCCTTACAAATGTCTTCAGGAATTATTGAGGGTGAAGTCAGAAAGGTAATTTTAATTTATTTAAGGCTACACAAAGAAAAAAAAGAAAATGTTGTGAAGAAGGAAAAAACTTACCCAAGGTGGTGTGCTTTCTGAAGCATTCCCTGCAGAGAGCTCCTAAGCCCCCAGAAGGGCTTCTACTCACTGAGAGGGAGCAGCAACACTGGAGGCTGAAACAATGCCTGACTCCTTCCTGGTTTTTCTTGCCTTAGCAACTGCCTTTTGCACAGCAGTTAATTGAGAATAAATGAAATTTCAGATGCACATTTCTTCTTCCGTCCCTTCTGCTGTGTGAAACTGTAGAGTAACTGGAAAGGACTGATAGATTAGAGGGGGACCCTTCAGAGGAGGGGGAAAACCTGAAAATTCTCCGTGTTGTTCCCAGACAAGGTAATGTTAGTACACGAACATGTAGGATAGCAAGAATGTTGCTTCCTTCACCGTTTTTTGTTCTCTCCACACCCCTTTCACATGTCCAGGGGAAAGACGAGGGCTTGTAGCTGCTCCACTGCAGTAACCAAGTGCCTCACGGTGATGTTCTCTGCTCTGCACTAGATCTTTTGCAGGTAACAGGGAAAAGTTAGGATCTGGGTTTCCCACAGTTCTGCTAATTTTATGCTCTGTGTCGCTGTTTACCTTCCTTTTCTGAAATACACCATTTTGATGCTGTAGCAAGGAGATGCCCTGAACCATGTGGGTGTAGTTCTTAGCACTTGGGAGTTTTACAGCAATCGGTTATGTGCTCATGCCAAGGAAATTGAGAAGATGAATACAATGTGTCTCGGATTGATGGTGGCACTGTGGCACTGGGAAAGGTCAGTGCAGCGCAGCATTCGTGGCTGGGCATGCCCTTTACATGGGCAGCAGGCTCTGCTGGCTCAGGCACCAGAGTTGGGGGGGATTTGCCCGACAGCCCCATGCCTTCACACCTCTGTGGGAAAAACGGGCTTTGCACTTTCCAGCGTGTCGGGGAGCTGGAGCATCTCGACAGACGTGTCAGTCTGGCAGCCCGACGCCGGGGAGGGAACCCGTGGGGACTGGCACGGCTGAGCTGAGCCCTCGCCCTGGAGCTGGGCACCGCAGCGGAGCGGAGCGAGCTGCGGCCGGGAGAGAGACCTCCGCCTCGGGGAGACCCCACCGGGGAGAGGGGGAGCCTGCCAGGCTGCGGGGAGAAGGGAGCACGGAGGAGACGAAAGTCGCTGTGCGGCGTGTCCCTCCTCGGGGCTGGGGAGGGGCACTCGCTGCTGGCGGCTGTAATAATAATAAGGGGACCAAGGAGAGACTGCGGAGACCACCGAGTGCTAGGGGGAGCAGCGCAGGAAGCCCAACGGGGGGTCTGCCTCTCGGACCGGGTTCCGCCGCGAGTGGGGGCCAGTCTCGGGGCTTCCCCACGCCGTCGGATGCTCAGAACCCCTCACGTCGCACCGACCGGGTTGGAGGAGGAGGAGGAGACCGGGTGCTTTCACTCCTGCTGACTGCAGAGGCTGAGGCAAAAGAAAAAGGAGGAGGGGAATAAAAAGTAAAGAGGGGGGAGAGAGTGAAAGAAAACTAAGCCCAGCTTTTGCCGGTGCTGCTTGGATTGGATCTGGTTTGAGTTTCCTCTCTGCTGGCTTGTGCAGCAAGAAAGGAGGAGTGGGGGGAAGTAACTCCTCAGTCTTCCTCTGAAGCTTAAGCAAATGTGCTGCTGCCTGCGCTGGCGGGGAGCTGCCCTGGGTGCAGTTGCCTCGCAGCCTATTGCTCTCAATTACTAAAGAATTGCCTGGACTTCTCGAGGACCTGGAGGAAAAAGACATCACTTCACAGACCTGATAGTTGCTCAGTGCCTGTAGACTTGACACATTTTGGTTTTTTCCTAGGGGATCCTTTTTTAAAATTATTTTTCTCCTCTATTTTTTAGAACAGCATTTGCTTGAGTGTGTGGCATTGAAATCCATTGCTTTGTTAACAACTTTGGGAGATATTTTTAAAAACTTTTTTCCCCCTCTTCTGTTTTCTTTGCAAAAAAAAAAAAAAAAAAAAAAAAAAGGCAAAAAAAGAAAGGATAATCATTTTGGGGGAGGGGAGATGATCGTGCTGATGTGGAATAAGTGCTCCTGCTGTCTCCTCTTACTAGCCGCGGTCCTGATCGTGGAGAGCTCCCAGCTAGACAGCTCCAGCTCCAAGGTGAACTCCATCAAGTCCACCCTGATGGGGGAGGCTCCAACTCAGGCAACCAACAGATCTGCAGGCATCCACCAGGGACTGATGCTTGCTAGCAGTAAGAAGGGCAAAATGCTAGAGCAGATGGGAAAACCTCCCAAGCACTATCACCGGCAAGGAGAGGTAGGACATCGCTTCATTGCTCAAGTGTCTGTCCATCTGTGTGCTATATGCGAATAATTGCTGGTCTTCCCCTCACATTGTTTTCAGAGCTTTAAAGTGTTAAATTAATTAATTTACTTCATCAGGGTTGTCTGGGATGATATCATCTCATAATTGGTGTTAAGAACTGTGGGACCATATAATCTCATAGTTGGTGTTAAGAACTCTGCAAGTGGGAGGTGGGAGGTTTTAAACCATTCGTCTTTCTCTGCAGGGTTAATAACTGATGGAAGAAAGAGCAATCTAAAAATTATTATCTTCAGCATTTCTTTGTTTGACTCCTTTAAAGGGCTGCTAGAAGTAAAAAAAGAAATTTCTTGTTAACTCTCAGACAGTAAATGAGTTGAATTTGAATAGGTGAGGAAAATTTGAGCATGAAGTAAAAAACTGTTCACAGCAACAAAACAAACCTGGTTTTAAAAATCACACCCAGCAAATTGATCTGGTAAAAAAACATGATGCCCCAGTGGTATAGTTTAAGGTACAGTTATTTGCTTAATATGACAGGAAACAAATTCTAGGTTTTTTTCCAGAATATTCTCCATTGTTTGTGGGAATTTTCTTTGGTTATGAGAGTTTGAATGTAAAGAAGAGGGAAAAGATTAGAGAAACTTTATGGAAAAAAAAAAGACCCTGACTTGCTTGTGCAGTCTTCTTTTGTCTCTACCCTGCCTGCAAACTTGGAAGTCTGATAAAAAATAGTCTTCCTTCAGCTATCTTTGTGGTAAACTATAAGGCAGCATTTTAAGCTATCAGTCCTCTTCTTCCCTCTCAAATCTTGACTTGGATGATATGCATGCTGTACATTGTGATGGTTGAAGGAGGTAGACTTCTTCAGAAAATACAGATTTTATACTATTGGGTATTATTAGGATCTCTAAATACAGCTGCTTTTCATAAGCAACAGTGTAGCAGCAAGGGAGCTGCCAACATTCAGCACTAAAAAGGCAAAATACTCAATGCCTGAAGGGTCTGTATCTTGCTTACATTTTCCTTAAAGCAGAAGAGAAACTGAAAATTCAAGTAAGTCACTGAATTTGCTGAAGTGTTTCACATCAGTTTCCTAATAATTGAATGTTATCATTTGGTTTTATGTGCAGGCGTAATAACAGTAGTGGTAGTTTTGGTTTCTGTGTGTGAGAAATTTGCTTTTAAAATCCTCCAAGCTTTCTTTCCCTAGCCACTCAATTGTTTTATTATTTACCCAGAATTTGGTTGCCTCTCCTTACCTCTCAGCAAAGTTTAGTAACAGATGCTGTAATGAAGTTTCATATTACTAAAGTGCTCTTTTCTACTTTGCATTGTAACAATTGCTATGTTGAATCACCTTCAGGAAATAGAGGAGCCCAATACACCTTCTTATATGTTCTCCTTGGATTTTCTTTCGTTTTCTATGTATTCACAAAATGTCAATGTACAAGTCCTAGTTTTCCGCTGAGTGCTATCAGTCTCATGAGTTTTGTGAGGCTGTGCTGTACAGCCTTTTGCCTTTTCGGGAGGTCTTGCCACCCTCCCCTATGTACATCATCCTCAGCACTTCAAGGTGTATTCAGTGCAATGTAATCAGTAATCGATTATGATTCACCCAGTTCCTGAAAAACAAGTTGTACTGCCCACCAGTGGCATTTGCAAGATTTGCCCCTAACTGGCCAACCTGGACTGGGATTTGCTGGGGACTTCTGATTACTGGCTAGAACTCACAAGGCACACTTCAAGTGAGAGACAGCACTGTAAGTATCTGTAGTGTTAGAAGAGATGTCATGCATGTTAACATGTCGTGTTTGTAGCACAACCAAAGACCCCCAGAGAACTGGTGGCTTTGACTCCCAGGGAGTGAGGATTGACCTCCCATCAAGGGCTGTCAGCACTCATTTCACTCTCTCTCTGATACTCCATGCCCGGATCCTGCATGGCCTCACACAGACGTATGTGAAAATGACACAGATTTGATCCCAATAATTGTAGATGCTACTTTCGGCCATCCATCTGAAGCAACACAGTTAAAACAGAATTGCAATAAAAAGAAGAAAAGACAAGTAAAGACAAGAAACCAAAGAGAAAGAGAAAAGAAGAGAAGAGAAAAGAAAAGGAAAAAAAGAAAAGCAAAAAGAAAAGAAAAGAAAAAAAAAGAAAAAAAGGAAAAGAGGAGAAAAGAGAAGAGAAGAGAAAAGAGAAAAGAGTATCTTTTGTGATAATGTTTTCTCTTTGGTGATACTTCCAGTTGCAGGGTTGGTAAGCCCCTGCATTTTTTAACAGCGGTGTCATGTATATCAACCGATTGAGACATGACATTTTCATAATCTTTTTTAAAGTACTCTCTTATTAAGTTAGTGCTTGATTTGTTTAGATTATGGGACTTTGCACTGAAGTTTACCATGCCACTTGCAAAAGAACAGGCATATGCTTTTCTTTCTAAAATGATCTGTTGAATTAGTGAAATTTATAATTTCTCAAAAGTAAGAGTATCTTTTATAACTTGGCAACACTAAGTGGTGAGTTGAGTGTCTTGCTTACAAACTAGGAAATAGTTTTAGTAAGGACCAAGGATATACAAGTTAAAGGAAAATTAATACAATTTTGCTGTTTTGACAGCTCCGATCTGTGCTTTCAAATCTGCACATACACATACTGAAAATCAGAGTGCTCTCACCAAAACTGGTGAAAGGACCATCAGCCTGTAACCTATTTGCTTTTCAGTTACGTTAATTCTCAGGACTGGGACTAAGTTGGGAGTTTTAATCAACAATAAATCAATGGATACAATAGTTCATGGCTTATCTACAGTGCTGATGTATTTCAGCTGGTAGTTACAGTGCTTCTGCCCAGAAAGGGAAGATCCAGCACTCCTTTGTCGGGCAAAGTTCCAGTTCAAATTCATGAAAATACATGAGCAAAGCAAGCTGATCCGGCTTGCAGAGAGACTAGCAGGGCAAATGTGGATTTTAGTAAGACACTTTTATGTCTTTCTAAGGAATATTATTTATTTTCTCTTCTTATTCCCTTTACTGCCTTGGATCAGCAGTGAATGAGAAGCACTGATGTGCTAAATCGGTGAGATTTCGCTCTCTTCACTGTTCTTCATTGTCTCTCCTGTTTTCCCCTTTCTGCAAACTGTTAATGTTTTCCCATTTCACAGAGAATCAGAAAGTATCTACAGCATTTGCACAAGGGAAAAATATGCTCAGAAATAGACTAACAGTGCACGTTAGTCTAGGTTACTTTGGGGGGGGGTCAGTATTTTATACTGTCTGCCATGAATTTCCTTTCAAAACTTGATTTAGAGAAATGGCTTCTAGGGACATCTAACACAGTAGTGTAGCCTCTCTGGGAAATTGTTCTGGATATATCATCTCTCTAGATAATTATGATACAGTGAATAGGTTCATAATTGGCAATGAAGTTGAATTAATTTTTCTGCGTGTTAGCTGTAGCTTCCACTGTGTTTGGGTAACCTCTCCCATGTGAGTGCTCTAGCTCAACGACAGAGATGTAACTTGAAAGGAAAAATCCCACATATTGTAGCTGTGACTGAAAAGAATAGCCATTCCATAGATTCCTAGTTAATGGCTCTGTAGCCTCTTTAACTCACTTCACCATCTTTTTGACTTCTTGCCTCTGGATTATAGTCCTCTCTCTCCTCTGAGGCTTGTTCCCTCTGTCAGTGCTGGGGTTTGGACTCCTTCACACTCACCCACCTTTAATGATCTAGTATGCTGTGACCTACCAAACTTTATTTTTAACTGATCTCTTTCTTCAGTCCATAGGTGCTATTACCTTTTGCCCTTTCCATGTCCTGGCCACAAACCATTGCTTCAGTTCTTTCCCCAGCAGGATGTGTCTATTATTCCCTTTGCTGCTGCATAGCTGTTTGGGTTTGTGCTTTTCATTGGAACCGTCCCTCCCCCTGTGCACATGATGGGAGCAGCAGCAATAAAGGGAAGAACTGGGACAGCCAGGAGAAGGGACCCGCACAATTGTGGGGTTGACTAAGAGATAATGTGGTCTGGAAAAGGGAGAGAGGAGTGAAAAGCTGGGTCAAGTTTTAACATGGCAGAGGTTCAATAGATGGCTATCAGATAAGCCTTAGTATTCCAAAAACACTTGATTTAATGTTAAAATGTATTTATTCTTTTTAAACTCCATTGCAGCTTGAGCTAAGAGGTTTGAGACCAGAGAAGCCAAACCAAAGAGGCATTAATTCAAATCACTAATTTGATACTGATCTCATACCTATTAATGTATGGACATACGTGTGTTTCTTGGACAGGATGTAGTTACTCACAAAGACTTGCTAGAAAATGTTTGGATGATGCTTTTAACAAGTAAAACAGCATGAGATGCAGTAATTGAATGCAGTGCCCTGACAATGTTACAATAAAATGTACCAAAGACACAAAAAATGTAACCACAATATCTTAAATAACTAGTAACCAAGACAGTATAAATTATTTCTCCATGGCATTAAAAATAAATTAATTGCAATACCTAGAAATTACATCCAGCAATAGCTGCCTTTTTTTTTTTTAATTAAAAAAATAAATACAGAATTGCTAAATCTGCAGAGGTCACCAGAGAATCTATTCTTTGCTCTTGCTGTTTGTTGTTAGGAATCTGGGAGACATACTAGTTTAGTGGCAGCAGTCTTGCTAAATAACCGAGTGGCTGGTCTCTTAATTGCAAAAATGAGATGCAGAGTATTATTTCCTTCCTGGGTCATGTTTGGTGTCCCCTTCAAAGTGTTATTATTAATTGACTTCTTAATATAGAGCAAAGGCTCCCTTTAAAGTAGTTTTGCTACAACTATTTCCTATTAACTTTGCAACAATGTTTAGAAATTTTCTACAACTCTCTTGTGCTGCTGGGTGTGCAAGTACTTAGGAAGAGTTAGTTTCTGTCTGGAAAGTCTGTCAGAGTTTAAGGGTGACACAAAA